GAAAAAGAATGAATATAAAGTATGGCAATTGTCAAGATATTAAAGAGTGAGTTTTCTCTCACTTACAACATTAATTACAAGTATAAAATAAAAATTTTGCATACAATCCTTTTGAAATATTCATATGCAATTAAAAATTAAAACATTAAAATTTTTAGTCTTTTGTCATTCTTCAATCCTATTTATAAATATCTTGACTACTGAAAGTAACCAAATATCATGTTGAACATGTTTTCTTTTCATATTGAAGTTACAACAATAGAGAAAAAAAGGCGTAATGTTATCTTTCAGTTTTTTGTCTTTTAATTTCAATCATAGGTCACTCGCTTATATAGAATTGTGAATCGTATGGTGTACATATTTGTTGTTGAAGGAGGTATTACATGTTATGTAGTTATTCTAGATAGTATTCATAGTCAAAAATCATCATGATAATTATGGAATGATTGTATCAAAACGAACATGTTGAGTATGTGTTAAGACTTTATCTTTCGATAAATGTTTCTTTGTTAATTCATTTATATATTAATGATAGATTTTAAATAAAAAAATTAAACGAAATTAAAAAGAAACAAAGCAGACGAATTATTCGTTTTTAAATAATAATCTGATGAAGTATAATAAGTAGCTCATTCTAAGATTATTTTCTTTTACATGAACTGTCATCTTCATTGAAAGCTTTGCCAAAATGATGAACAGCAGTTAACAAAACAATAAAATGAATAAAAAAAATGATTTATCAAATATAACAAACTAGTATATTCAAGATCATTGTCATATAGTGTTTAATAAAAAGAATACAAATCTGAATTTCGATGATCAAGAATCAATATATAAGTTTTTAGTTGTAATCAGATTCAATAGTAGGTCTTCAGATGAAATAAATTTTTCAATTGAAAATGATTTTTTAACATAACAACTTACTAACTAGTTCTTGTGAAAAAAGTTTATTATTAAAGTTTCATGAATATATACAACGTGAAACTCATATAACTTTTAAAGTTTCTAATAGTAACAGCTTGTATTTTAATCTGTCACATTCCATAGAGTAACTTGGAAGGATTGATAAATTTGATGTGATCTCTTATTTGAAATTATTGCTTAACATAATTGAAAGGCTTCTCGATTCGTAAAAGAATACTACTCTCCATAGAAAGATAAAATGATCTATGACGTTCGGTTTTATACTAGGCTTTATATTTTTAAGTTTCGTAATATCTAGATATTTTCATAGTTCCATGATACTAATAGTTGGTATATCTATCTCACAATGGAGTGTTTGTATTGTAAATTAAAAACACTAGAGTGTGGGTTGATCTAATCTCATCCACACCCACATCCTAAAAAATATTGTAACTTCTATCAAATGTATTGTGAGAAAAAAGTGACAACTTCTGTAAACATGAACTTCTGACTTTTCTCTTTATCTTTATTTTCTAAGAGGTTTATAAAATTATGCGATTTTTCTCTGTTAACCCTAGTGGAACAATAAACTATATATTTTAAAAAAAAGTCTATATAATTCATGGAAGTTCATTTATCATTTCAAAATAAAAAATCCTTAATGACTGATCACACTGATAAAAAAAACCTTTTTGCGTATGTATAAGTCTTAAAGTTATATTAAGTACTAAAGTCAAATAATAAAATAGAATTGTTTAATTTTCATTTTTTTCACTCTTGAAAAATCTAATCTGATGGAACATATTTTAAACATAAAATATTTAAAGAAGTTTAAATAGATCCAAATGAATTGGTGTTCAGATAATAAAGTAACTTTTTAAACCAATGTTCATCAGAATAGTTAACTCATTATCAATCGATAATGATAAGAAAACAATTTTTTCGAACTAGATATAACGATATTTTTAAATGTTCAAAAGAAAATGAACGTTTCTCTTTTCTTAACTGGCAAAAATGATCATTTTTCAAATACTTTAGATTTGAAGTTTATGATTTATTGAATATATTTGCATCAATCAAAAATACAATTAAGAAACTTACAAAAATATTTCGCTCAAAAAAAAAGCAAACAATTTGTACTGTTTTTATACCAAATTCCGTTAAAGATTTGTGAGAAAAATGGAAATAAAAAAAAATATCGATGAAATCCTGATAGTATCATTCATTTTGTAAGATCCGTTCGTATCAGATATGAATGACGAATAATTTGATGGAAATGTAAATTTATTCTGTATTATATTATATACTTCTTCTACTGTTTTCTGTTCATTACAATTGTTTTTGTTGCAACGAATATCCATTGTCATAATTTCATCGTTAGTTAATGTATTAAAATGTCGACTAAAATGAACGTTGGATGGACTAGTAGTATCACATGTATGACTGTTGTTAAAATTTGTTGTGCTTGTTTGTGAACCAGAACGTTTTTCAACGAATTGAGCATAACACTTGTCGCTGGATGGGCATACAAGATTGTCAGTGCAAAGCAAGTCAGCAGTGGATGAATCTGTTTTAAAGAATAAATAGCTGATTTCTAATCTTACAGTTATTTCATGAATTTCAAGCCATTTCGGCGAACCTACTGCCTCGCGTACAAAAACTCCTGATCACAATCATCTGTTGAAGTACACGTATAAACAATAGAACCGATCGTGATCACTGAATTCAAGGTAAATTTAGTGTTAAGAGTTGAAGATTTATTGCTTAAACGTGGTTTTATCTGAAGAACACCATCAACGAATAATGTTGCAAAATTTATAGTAAGATCTACTGTGTACGCAGTAGTAGTAATATCAATATCAACAGTGTTACATGGAATTTTAAACGGATCCGAAGACCCAATTGGAACAGTATTAAATTCGCATTTATCAGCACAACGAATTGTGTTCACTTGATCAATGGTTAAACATAAGAGAATAGAAAGCGCTAAAATATAAGATGCCTTCATAGATGATATTGTCTTTTTAGCAGGTCAGTAAGAAATATGTTTTATGTTTGCCACATGACACGTTGTTATTTACATATATATATACCCCTGGAAAAAAATAGATTTAGTCCGTATTTGACTTATATTGTCACTATAAAACAATATTTTCTTTAAACCAATTACATATTCTGGAAGCGCTTGGAGTTCTGCATCACCCTGTATATTTGCATTCTAACTTGCGACCTATTTGCTGCAAAATAAATCGAGTACAATGAAGGCACCTTCATCGTCAGATTCCCACAGATTTTTTTTCTCCATCTTCTTGCCAATTAATTTTTTAAATCTTTCATCACTGTAGAAGTAGCTTTTTAAAAAATTAAATATATATTCTGATAGAGCTTGAAAAGCTCTATCATCCTGTATGTACATCTTTTGTTTTGGCTTCCACTATTGAAGAAAAAAAATAAATACATTGAAAACATCTGCATTTGAAAAGGATAGAAATTTTGCAACTTTCCGCTTTTTTTAAGTTGTTCTTTGACATTATCTTTCTTGTAAGAATAAATTCCAATAAAAAATAAGTAACGCTCGTCCGAGGACTCGTTCAGCTCTTTCTCGTAGAAATGGTTTTTCTGAACTATTCAGCAAACTACTCATATAATTTCAAAAATCGAAGAAAGTGCACTGTCGGTGTGTGTTCCTATTAAGTTCATCAAGACGTTTCAGATCAGCATCTTCAGCAAGAAAAGGCTGGATTTGTAGAATTTTCATGTTGAAAGATTCTTCGACTTCGAAAACCTTTGGTCAAACTTTCTAAAAAAAATTTTCTTTACTAGAAACGCCTTTTCTACCAAGAAAAACTAGTTCAACAAAATTATCACAAACTAACGGTACCAATCGATTCCCCGACCTCAAAAACCTTTGGTCAAACTTTGTAAAACAATTTCTTTTTCGTAAAAAAGTGGTCCTTTATGTAAAAAAATGATCCACAAAAAAATTTCAAAAAACTGGCCTCAGATTCGAATTCCTCGACCTCGATTACCATTCAGTCAATCCTTATAAAAAAAATATTTTTTTCGTAAAAAAGTGATCCTTTGTGTAAAAAAATGATTCAGAAAAAAAAATTTCAAAAAACTAACCTCAGATTCGAATTCCTCGACCTCGATTACCTTTGGTTCAGTTTTATTTGAAAGAACTCTTTTTGTGTCGAGATCGTTATTCGACCAATCAGTAAAGTGCGGACACACAAGCAAGCAAGCAAGCAATCAGACAATTTATGTTTGCAAGACTCTTCTCTACGAGAAAGAGAATAGTAAAAACAAAAGATGAAGTTCAATACTAATGGCGCTCGAAAATATCGTATAACTGCTTCACAAAATACCTATCTACACATGTAGCATAATCTTGAATTATTTCAACACCTTATTTAAATTCAATTGATTCACATTCAATTCATTTTCTATTTTAAAATGCTGTTTAAAAAAAACTAACCTTAAAAATTTTGCCGAAAGCTGCGTGGATAAAAGGAAAATATTTCTAGTAAGTGTCTGGAAGTCCAGAAATGTTTGAATTCTCTCCTCTTTGTCCAGATTTGTATGATTTTGACAGAATCTCCACAATGTGCATTTTGTACATGGCAGGCGGATATGTGACTTTCTTGCTGAGAAATAATTGGTATGACACAGAAAAGCATTTTTAAGGAAAAAAAACTTTGTTGGGAGAAAAACTGAAAAATGCCTCATGAATCTAGGTTTTTTAAAAATCCACTGTGCAGTACAAGAATGCTTGCGTTAACAGGGATTAGAGATAGTAGATAGAAGAGCATTATTGCAAAACTTGAAGGTTGCATGTGGATAGATTGCTCATTTACAGGACCAGTCCTTCGGACGACGCTGTAGAAAAAAAATACTATTTTTTTTCTCTGAGAAGTTAAATGTGCAAAAATTAAAAAAAATACTTTTTACTATTGTATAGGGCTCGGCTTGAAGATTCAGAAACTGTACTTGATTTGTCTGTCGAACAGTTTAGTTTTTGTCAGATATCACTTTTTCCGGTGACACCACGATTTTCACACTGTGCTCCTCTCTCCTTGTCTGCACGGTCTTTATGAATGACTCTTAATGACGATAATGATAAATGGGAAGTAGTAGTAAATAAAAATAAACAAAAACAAATCATTCATCAATTATTAACGATTCCAACGAAGTTAAATGATGAAACAATTGAGACAATTCCATATGATGTATGGTTATTAAAAATCTTCGAACGTTATGATCTTTATCGATATTAGTTATATAAATAACGAGAAAAATGTTATAAATGTGTTAGTAATGCACATTTAGAATTTAATCAAGCTATTGTAGAACATTCACAATATATACAATTAGAAGATTATTATATATTAAAACATGCTATTATTATTGCAATGATAACAACATGTGTATCAAAATATTTTGATGTTATACAAAAACTTGGTAAGAAAAAGAAAATAAATAAAAAATTTTTTTAATGATTGTCTTTTTCAAATTATCAGAATTTTAATTTATTTTTAAATTTAAATTATGAAAAAAAATTAAATTTATTTTAAATGTAAATTATGAAAAATAGTTACTAATATTCGTTTTCACGACGTATCATATCGAATGATACGTGACCGAGTAGCTCAGTTGATATAAAGATTCGAAATAGTGGTCATGTGTATTCTATTCTAACCTCGGTCATAAGTTTCTATCATAAAAAAAATCACTTACAATCTTGTTTCTGTTCTAGATAATAATTTATGTTATGTTATTTGATGTGTTGTCTCTATTAGTTGGTTTGGTCGTTGGTATTATTCTGACCTTATGGTGCGAATCATTTATAAGAAACATTATTGAAGTAATTATGGATGTTCAAGGAGCACCTCAACAACATCCTCCACCACCTCAACAACAACATCCAGTACCACCACATCAGCTCCAACGTCGTCGTCATCATGGAGAAGGAGATCGACGTTGATATCGAACAATACAAAAGAAATAAATAAGTAAATAAATAGAATATTTTATTATATTTTATTTTATCGAAAAAAGATGACTTAGTCCTATATTGAAATGGTGGCTGTAGATGTGGGTCCTAGCTCTCGCTTTGCTATATCCAAACCCTACAACAGATCAGGATGATGGCCAAATTATCAATTATTGGTCATTAAATATAATTTTCTCGGTACTTTCAAAAGTTGTGTTGTTTAACGACAAAAAAAAACAATCAAGATCATCTGACTAGTGATAATGCTCTTATGATATCACATTTGTTTTAAAAGTCAAAAACCTAAACATTGTAATTATTAAGTATGAATTAGGTGCTAAGACTCGCTAAAATTTCAAAAAGTCTGCTTTTGTTCAATATACAAGAACAATGCATTTCCAAATCACTTTGGAATTCTTGGTACATCCTGTACCATTTTTTCTTCGCAATCAAGTTTTTTTAATTCAGTATAACTCTTCTCTCAAGTGCGTATCAGTTGAAAAAATAACATAATTTTATATCACATAAGCAATAATAAATGAATGGAGGGCTAGTTCAGTAAAGATAGTATTCGAGAAATAATAATAAATCGGAATCAAAGACAAGAACAAATATATCAAATTTTGTGGCAACTAATTTGTATCAGTTCAAATCGATTGCTGGAAATCCATGAATATTGAATCAAATTAAACACATGGGTAGCATAGTTTTACTTAGGATTGACCAAAAGTTCTGATCCCGGTGTTTAAAATTTTATAAAATAGTTAATATCGAAAATTTTATTGCTTAAATACATATTAGAATGTCTTATCTATAATAGGGTGTGCACTAGATAGGAATAAAGGTGAGACGAATGCCCGCACCCTCAAGATAGGTGTAATTACAATTTATATGATAAATTACATGAATGTAATCTATTACTATGCAAGAAATAGTTTATTCTCGTGATTTATGAGTCTCAAGTAAATTGAAAATTATTATAAATAGCTTTGATATTCATTTATTAATTAAAATTATTCTTTTAATCTTTTGAGGACCGACTATTTTTAGAAAAGAAAGTTGGGTTTTCACTTAAAATATCAATTATAGTTGAAAATTAATAACCATGATTTTTTCATCCGGACTCAATGCAAAAGATGTACGATGTCCATATTGAAACAACAAAGACAAAACATTCATTCAAGAAGTATAATAAACAACAATTCAATAACATATGAGAAGCAAAGTTAATGCAATAAACTAAAAATGCGGTCAAGTATGGAATGTGTCGAAATAACTAACAATACTGTTAAGGATTTATTCTTCCTTACGAATAAAGACTTGCGGAATCAGATTTTTTTATTCCGAAATCCGACTCCGATTC